TCCTGATCATCATCACCATCAGAACCAGCATCATCATCATCATGACCACCGCCAACACAATTATGAGAATCCGAATCAACGTCAGCATCGTCACCATCGTCATCACCATCACCATCGCCACAATCACCACCATCATCACTTCCACAATCATCATCAGCATCATCATCATAATAATCATCAGCATCAGAATCATATGCACAGTCTCCATCGTCATTAAACGTCTCATCATCGTGATTATCAGGATCCTCATCATCCGCATCATCACCCTTCCCCTCATCATCATCAGCACGACCACCACCACCACCATAATCATCATCATCACCACCAGCATAATCAAAATCAGCATGCTCGTCATGAATGCCATCGTTGTCATCATCAACATCATCAGCACCATCATCGTGACCATAGTCATCACCACCCTCATCTCCACAATCAGCCATCCTCGTCACTACCAACATGACCAACCTCATCGTAATCATCAATTGCATCATCATCAGCATCGTCGTCATCATCAGCAGCACCATCATCACCATCCGCATAATCAGCATCATGTTCGTCATCAGTATCATCATCATCATCATCAGCATCATCAACATCAGCATCGGCATCCCCATCGTCATCCTCGACACCAGCATAAGCAGCAGCAGCATCATGATCAACATCATGCTGGTCATCATCCTCTGCAGCGTCGCCGCAATTACCAACAGCACCACTGCTACCGTCACCACTATCATGATCCAAAGGGGCATCATCATAATCCGCACCCCCCCCCACCCCTTGCCCATCAGCATAACAACATGAGCATCGCAAACAGCGTCATCCCATTATGATGATCCGCCTAACCATCATCAACGCCACCACCATCATCAGCAGCATCATCATAAGCATCATCATAGCCACCGCCACAACCACTAGCAGCACAATCATGACCAACATCAACATCATCAACGTCATAATCAGCATCGTCGTCATCATCACGATGAGCATGACCAGAACAATCACAACCACCACCATCAAAAGCAGCACCATCACCATTATCATCATTACCAGTATCGGAATCGCCCGTGTCGTCCTCATCATCACCATCACCAGCATCAGCAACTTCAGCGCAACCACCAAAGGCACCACCACCACCACCACCATCGTCACAATCATCATTATCAGCGGCACCATCATCAGTATCAGTAGCATCGTCAGTAGCATCATCACACGCCTGTTCATCATGGTCATCATCAGCAGGGGCGTTACCATCATCACCAGCATCAGCATCTTCGGCATCATCAACATCCTCATCCTCATGCACATCATCATCATCATCATCATCATCATCATCATCATCATCATCATCATCATCCGCATCATCAGCCTCAGCATCATCATGATCATCGTCACAGTTGCCATCAATATCGTCATGATCAGCATCATCAGCAGCATCGGCATCGGTATCATCACCGTGATCAGCATCATCCGAATTAGTATCAGCAACATCATCAGCACCAACATCACGGCCATCATCAACACCGTCATCATAGTCACCATCATCATCATCAGCAGCTGAATCATGATCAATAACATCATCAATATCATCAGCATCAGCTTCAGAACCAGCATCATCGTCATCGCCATCATCATCGTCCTAGTCATCACCATCATCTTCAACTCACACAACAGCATCACAATCATCAACAGCACCATCAACACCAACAAACGTTCCCTCAATCCTCGTCATCATATCCATGATCATCCTAATCATAATCCTCGCTATCATCAGCATCAGCACCGCTATCATCATCAACCCCGTTGCTTGTCCTCAGCATGCTACTTCTTATCATCATCTGCATCATCATCATCATCATCATCATCATCATCATTATCATTATCATCACCACCACCACTATCATCATCAGCATCATCATCCTCATCATCATCATCATCATCATCATCATCATTGTCGTCATCATCAACATCACCATCATCATCATGAGCATCGTCGTCGTGATCCCCGTCATCATCATCAGCAGCATCATCGTCATCATCAGCCGCACCGGTATCATCATCATCAGCAGCATCATCATCACCAGCATCATGACACTCATCATCATCGCAACCCACAACCACCACCACCCTCAGGAACACCATCCTCGTCATCGTCATCATCATCATCATCATCAACATCATTGTTATCGCCACCACCAACAGAACCAGCATGTTCGTTACAGTCACAATCATCACAACCGCCGCCATTCTCAACATCAAAATCACCACCACCATCGTCATCATGACCGTCATCGCCGGCATCACCATACGAATCATCATGATAATTCCCATCCTCCTCATCCTCATCGTCATCATTCTCATCGTGATCACCGTCATCACTAACAACATCCTCAGCATCATCATCCGCATTATCCTCATACTCCTCATGATCACCACCACTGCCAATACCATCAGCCGCACAGTCACAATCATCATCAACATCATCATCATCATCGTCAGCATCATCAGCATCGTCGTCATCATCACTGAAATTGTAACCATCATCAACGCCTCATCATCATCATGAGCATCCCCACCAACATCGTCATTAGCATCATCAGAAGCAGCAGCACCATCATCCTCATCACCACCACAATCATCAGCACAATCATGAGTATCGTCATCATCATCATCATGATTATCATCATCAGCTTAAGCATCATCACCATCATCACCGTCATCATCACTGTCATCATCGTTATCACCATTCGCATAATCATGATCATGAGCATCCTCGTCCTCATCGTCCTCAATCTCGTCATCCTCATCATCCTCGTCATCCTCATCATCCTCACCGTAATCATTGTCATCACTATCAGCATCCTCAGCATCTTCAACATCATCATCTTCCTCATCCTCCTCAGTATCACCACCACCGCCATCATCGTCAGCCTCACCGTCATGATCATCATCACCATCATCGGAAAGAATCACAATCAGCAGCATCCTCATTGCAATTGCCATCATCATCACCATCAAATGATGATCATAGTCAGCGTCATCATCGTCAGTGTTATCATTATCGCCAACAGCAACGGCATCATTATCACAAACATTACGACCACAACCACGACCATCATCATGATTGACATCATCATCATCATCATCATCATCATCATCATCATCATCGCCGTCGTCATCACCATCATTATCACCATCATCATCATCACCATCACCATTGTCAGCATCACCATCAGTATCGTCATCATCATTACCATCATCATCAGGATCCTCATCAGCATCATCATCACAGTCATCATCGTTATCACCATTCGCATAATCATGATCATTAGAATCCTCGTCCTCATCGTCCTCAATATCATCATCCTCATCATGCTCGTCATCCTCATCATCCTCACCGTCATCATCGTCATCACTATCAGCATCGTCAACATCGTCAACATCATCATCATCCTCATCCTCCTCATTATCACCACCACCGCCATCATCGTCAGCCTCACCGTCATGATCAGCATACTCATCATCAACAGAATCACAATCATAAGCAGCATCATTGAAATTGCCATCATCATCACCATCAAATGATGATCAAGATCAGCGTCATCGTTGCCAGTGTTATCAGTATCGTCAACAGCAACGGCATCATTATCACAAACATTACGACCACAACCACGACCATCATCATGATTGACATCATCATCATCATCATCATCATCATCATCATCAGCATCATCATCATCGCCGTCGTCATCACCATCATCATCACCGTCATCATCGTCATCAGTATCAGCATCGTCAACATCGTCAACATCATCATCATCCTCATCCTCCTCATTATCACCACCACCACCGCCATCATCGTCAGCCTCACCGTCATGATCAGCATACTCATCATCAACAGAATCGTAATCATAAGCAGCATCATTGAAATTGCCATCATCATCACCATCAAATGATGATCAAAATCAGCGTCAGTTTTGCCAGTGTTATCATTATCGCCAACAGCAACGGCATCAGTATCACACACATTACTACCACCACCACAACCATCATCATCATCATCATCATCATCATCATCATCATCCTCATCATCATCATCATCATCATCATCATCATCAGCATCATTTTCGTCGTCATCATCATCACCATCACCATCATCATCAGCATCTTCATCATCATCCGCATCATCATCATCATCATCATCATCATCATCCTCATCATCATCAGCCGTATAATCATGTTTACCATCATCGTCAGAATCAGCATCATTATCATCATCAACATCACCATCATCATCATCATCATCATCATCACCATCGTCATCAACATCATCATAATCATCAGCATCATCATCAGCATCGTCAACGTCAACGGCATCATCATCAGCATCAACATCATCATCAACATCAGCGTAATCATCATCATCATCAGTATCATCATCGGAATATGCATCAGCATTTCCAGTATCATCATCAATACCATCATCAAACATTACTACCACCACCACAACCATCATCATCATCGTCGTCATCAGCATCACCACCATCATCAATGTCAGCATCAGCGTAAGCATCAGCGTAATCATCATCATCATCATCATCATCATCATCATCAGCGTAAGCATCATCAACATCAGCGTAAACATCATCATCAGTATCAGCATCAGTAGCAGCATCATAATATGCATCATCATGTGTCTGACTAGTAGTAGTGTTAATAGTATGTGTGCTGTCGTCGTCACCTTCAGCAACACCTACATCAGAAACCTCAGCATCAGCATCATCGTCCTCATCACCATCATCACCAGCATCAGCATCATCAGCCTCATCATCATCCTCATCACCATACTCATCAGCATCATCATCATAATCCTCATCACAATCATCACCAGCATCATCATCATCATCAGCATCATCATCACCATCATCACCATCATCACCAGTGTCATCATCATCATCATCATCATCATCATCATCATCATCATCGTCATCATCATCATCGTCATCATCATCAGCGGCCTGGGCAGCCTGCGCCGCCAGGGCCGCCTGCGCCTCCGAGGCGGCCCGCGCCGACTGCTCCGCCGCCCGCGCCGCCTGGCGAGCGCGCTTCGGCCCCTCCCCTCGGCGCCTCCGAGCGGAGCGACGAGCGAGGGGCGAGGAGGAGCGAGGAGCGAGGAGGGGCGAGGAGAGAAAGGAGGAGCGAGGAGCGAGGGGGAGCGACGAGGAGCGAGGAGGGAGGAGGAGCGAGGAGCGAAGGGGAGCGACGAGGAGCGAGGAGGAGGAGGAGGAGGAGGAGGAGCGGGCAGGAGCGGAGAGGAGCGAGGAGAGGCGCGAGGAGGCACGAGGAGGGAGCGAGGAGCCAGGAGCGGGGAGCAGGGGGCGCGGAAGGACGCACTGATCCCGTGCGCCCTCCGCGGTACGGCGCGGCCGAACGGAGAGCACGAGCGTGCGAGAGCACACCTCGAGGGGCCCACGACTCCCCATCTTTTCCCATACCTTCTGGGTTTTCGTCCTCCCGCCCAGTTCCCATATTTTCCCACATCTTCTGGGTGTTTACCTCCCCGCCCCACTCCCACAGTTCCCCCTCTTTTTCTCCTGGGGCTCGACGACGACCTGTGTCTGTGTGTGCTTTTCCCCTCCTGGGCGGCGCGGCCCGAGCGGCACGGCTGGCACGCGCGCCCGCCGCCGAGCAGACACGCGCGCGCCGAGGAGTCCCAGGAGCGCGCGCGTCGCCCCGAAAGGGGGGGGCCGACGCCCACGGAGAGCCAGGCGTGCTCGGGCGACGCCGACGAGCGCCGCCGCCGCGGCCCGGAAGCCCTGGCCCCCTCGCTGCAAAGGGGGGGGAGGTGTCCACATCCACCGCCTGGGGCACGACGTCCTGGTGCCCCTGCGGGCGGCGGATGTGGGTATATGTTGGCCCCCGAATATATATATATATATATATATATATATATATATATATATAGATATATATATAGATATATATATATATATATATATATATTATATATATATACATATACATATACATATACAATATATACATATATATATAGACATACACATATATATATGAATATATATATATATATATATATAGATGTATGTCTATATATACATATATACATACATATACATCTATATATACATATATACATACATACATACATACATACATACATGCATGCATACATACATACATACATACATACATACATACATACATACATACAAACAAACAAACATACATACATACATACATACATACATACATACATACATACATACATACATACATACATATATAGCCATGTCCATATCCATATCCACCGCCTGCGAGCCCCCTAAAATTGATCCTCCAGGCGCGCGCGTCGCCCCTGGGGGGCCGACGCACACGGAGTGCAGGCATGCTCGGGTGACGCCGACGAGCGATGCAGTCTCAACCTGCAGGGCTGAGCCTAAGCGGTGTGGTTCGTTTTCGTTTTGTTCTCGTTTTCCCTCGCTGTTGTCTCCAATCCGCCTCTGCTGCAAAACGAAGGCGAAACGAAAACGGCCCACAAAATCATCAGAAACACCGTTTAGGTCCAGCCCTGTCAACCTGGAAGCCCTGGCCCCCCTCTCGGGGCCCGAGAGGACGGACAGGGTCCCATGCCGAAAGCGCGTACGGCGGGTATGCGTCGTGTCGACCCTGGCGCATTGGTTTCTGACACCATGGGGGTTGCGCAACCTTGAACGAGATCGGCCGTTTCCGAAACGCCAGATCGCTCGGCATCGATCGATTCCGGGTCGCCGGCGGCGTTCAACGTTGAACGACGGCGGCGGGGCCGTCGCCGGTCAACACGACGCGAACCTACCGCACGCGGGCCCCGGGACCCAGGGCAAGGCCTCCGCGATCCCAGGCCGTGGCGTGGGGCCCCGGGGCGGGGAGGCCCCGAACGGTGCGGGTGCAGCCTGTAGGTTCCTCCCTGCGCTCCGGGCCCCGTCCCGCTGCCACGGCCCGCCCTTCTCAGCACGCGCTCACCCCAGCGCTGTGGCTGACGAGGGCTGGCCCGTGGACTTCGTCCACGGAAGGGGTGCTGCCACAAGGCTCGGGGCCCCCGCTGCGGGCCACCGGTCCTTGCCCATTTCCTCCGCCCCGGCGACGCTGGCGGCGGTGGCAATTGTGGCCCTCCTCCTCCTCCTCCTCCTCCTCCTCCTCCTCCTCCTCCTCCTCCTCCTCCTCCTCCTCCTCCTCCTCCTCAAGAAAGGGGAGAGGGAGAGGGGGGAGAGGACGGGAGAGAAGGGGACGGGAGGATGTGCAAACATAATCTAACATCCAGATCAGCCTGCCTCCAGAGCTGCAGGTCCCAAAAAAGGAAGGGCGACCGCCAACGGTGAAGGCCAGCCTGTAGGATGTCCTCTCTGGTTGCGGTTGCCGCTGCGGGCAGCGAGCGGAAATACAACAAGGGATAGGATCCCGAATACATGCCCAACACACCAACGCCCCCCCAGGATGTGCGAAAGGGAGAGGAGGCGAGGGAGGACGACGACGACGACGACGACGACGACGACGACGACGACGTGGAGGAGCAGCAGCCGGACGAAAGAAGCAGGAGAGGGGGAAGGATGCGCATCAGCGGGAAAGGCTGGATGACAACGAAGACGAGGACGACGAGAAGCAGCAGGTGGAGGGATAGGGGAGCAGGAACAGGAAGACAAGGAGGATAATGGGGAAGAGGAGGAGGAGGAGGAGCAGCAACAGCAGCAAAGCATCGATGACGAGGACGAGGAGGAGCAGCAGGAGGGAATGAGGAGGAGGAGGAGGACGACGACGACGACGACGACGACGACGAGGAGGAGAAGCAGCAGGCGGGGAGGAGGAGGAGGAGGAGGAGGAGGAGGAGGAGGAGGAGGAGGGGGAGGAGGGGGAGGAGGGGGTGGTGGTGGAGCTCCCTAACGACCAAGGTCGAATGGTCGGAGGAGAAGTCTGGGGTTACCCCCTCACTCACGCCCCGGCACCCCACAACTGGGGGGCGCCAGCGACAGTGCCCGTCGGCAGCTGTCGGCGCACGGCCGCATCACACGCTGCTGCAGCACTTCAAAACAAGAACAAATCATGCACAACCTCAAACTGCTCACTCACTGCACCCTGCTCCCTCGCACATGCACGACATACACCAACAAAACTCCTCCCGTCCACCAGCGCCACACATGCCCCATGAGCAAATGCAGCACAAGCTTCAGACAGGCATACCACACATGTCGACAAACAGCACGTCGCAAGCGAGCAAGTAGCACAGGCTGACCAGGCACAACACGCGTCGCCGATCACGCCGTCGAGCGAGAGACCGAGGTACGACTGAAGACGAAGAACTCATGCTCCTGACCTGCACCAGAGACAACTACCCAATGCCGATGACCACCCGCCACCCGACCACGACAGCACCCGCTCACAGCGCCCAAAAAAATCAGGCACATCACATAATGTCGCCCATATCAGCCACGAGCACGTCACCGACCAGCAGTCACTACTGTGGGGTCAGCATCTTCTGCCCCTCCACTTCGAGATACCCCGCAGGACGCGGACCCGTAAACACTTCAGCACCCACATGCTCATACAGGATAGCGACGATGACCTGCTCGAGCTGCTCGTCGGCGATCGTTTCAATCAAACGGCGCAGCTTCGAGTCGAACATCTTTTCCGTTCTGAACAAGCGAATCAGGAGCTGCGCACGAAGGGAACCTGGAACGAAACTGCCCATGCATTTCCGCACGATGGCCTGCTGCTCAGTCGACCCCTTGGCCCCGAGCACAAGCGCCGCACCTGCAAACTGAAACGAATCTGGGGCACCGAGCTCGTGGCCCTTCTGGCCCTTCACCCGCGGCAAGTACTCCTGGTCGTGAGCGCTTTTCATACTCACATAAACTGCATCCTCCACTTTCAAAGCGAACTGATACGTCGCAGCGGCTTCCAGGAGCCTCGTACGTTGCGCACTGATCACCCCTAGCTTCAGCGCCACTTCGGCCTTGGCCTCCGTCGACGAAGCCAGCAACACGCTTCGCGCGAGTCGAGTCCTCCGCCGCAGCTGCTGATGCTGCAGGCTTCTCCCCCACCTTGCCGAAGAGGGCACCCCACTGCTGCTGCATCTTCAGAGAAGAAACTCTTGTGTTTCTAGTGGAAGGTGTACACGAAGATGCCCACGAGCCGACACGTAGCTACCGAAACTCAGATCACATATTGCACAGAAGCACGGAGGGCTGGTGATATGACTGCGTTGAACCGCAGAACCCTTGGACCGAGGACACTTACCAAGTTCAAGACTCTTTTCCAGGTGAGAGCTAGCATACCTTTTGGTGGTATATATGTTGCCACACAGAATACACGCATTGCTGATAGTAACAATTCGAACAAGAACTCTATGCCCATGATTAGGCTGCCGAGAATTAGCTCGATGTAATAGTAGTTGCCTGTTAGTCGGGGACGAGGCCCCGCAGACTCCCTCCGACTCCCCAAGACTGAGATCGCATTTGAAGTCACCCACAGACGGAGGAGGAGGAGGAGGAGGGGGAGGCACCCCAGAAGGAGGAGACACCCCAGAAGGAGGAGCAGAAGACGAAGACGAGCCCCCAGGAGCCCCCTAGGACCCAGACGGGGCGCCGATCTCAGTCTCGACAGGCGGAACTATCTGTTTTCATGTGTACTCGCTGTACAATATCTGCGGGTCAGCCGAAAGAAACTCCGCACGCACGTCCACTGAACAAAACAATGCCGCAGGATACCGCTCGACTTCAGCCGCAATATCGGCAAACCCGGCTACCCGAGCAAAACCCATAAAGTCTGCAAGAAACTGTGTCCACCATTCGCTAGGCCTCCCATTTAGATACCCCTCCCGATCCACGAACTTATTGTCTCCCCATTCAGCCTGACCAAACAAAGCCCCTATCACCTGTAAGTTACTGAGAGGCCAGCGCACAATATTTTGCATCCACTTCAGCCGCTGCATGCGCAGCCTCAGGGACAAAGGACACAGCCTCAGCTGGCAGTAAATGTCGTGCGTGGTTCTCGCTTGGTATTTCACCCCATCCTCCAACTCCTCCTTGATGCACCCCTCCCCCTTCATCACACGACGAGCAAGAATCGCTTGAACCCCATCCAAGCGCGAGCAGCAATCAGACGTCACCGCAAGTGAGACCAGGCCCGACGCAAAGGCGCCTTCGATAACAGCTTGGCACACAATACTCTTCCATCTCAAATTCGCACAGCTATGCCAGAACCGTCCCAGAAGCCCAAAAATGCGCCTCGCCTTTTTTTAATCCTGCGGGGATATTCATCACTGCAACTTCCGTCGGCACGTAAATAGGGACCCAGGTACCTGCAACAACGATTCACGCGCCCAGGAACACTCTCACCAGCGCGCAGCTGCCAGGACCCAGACGCCCGATCAAAGTAACCTCCAAAAACACGCCGCCGAGAGACATGGGCACCTTTGCCCGCGAAGTGCACCAGACACTCCTGCTTGCCACTATTGAGAGCCACTCCACCAATAGCAACTCGTTCTTGAAGTCTCGTGAGGTTCTCAGAACATAGCCTGACGAACCCATCGCACGATCGCAGCAACTGAGTGCGGCACAGATCATCAGCGAAACTGGTGAAAGAAACGTCGATCGCACGATCGGCCCACGAGCGCAGAGCAAGCCGAGCACTCTCATCTTCCCCTAAACAGTGCTTAAGCCACGGGACCCTGACGCTAAGCCCAGGACTCTCTTCCCCAAAATACCCATCCAAACACCAATGATAATCTCCTAAGAACCATACCGGAGCCACTGTGCCCCCAGGTAACGCTACAGAACCCAAGGCAACCTCCAGAACTCCATCAACACATTCGAGAGACATTTGCCCATGATTAAGTCTTTCTTCAAACAGAGCCGCTGCAAAAGTGGACGCGTGCTGCCTCGCGAACATCTTAAGAAGCCAGTGCTCCACGCTGTGAAATGCATTCGTCGCGTCATAGAAGGTGGAGAAAAAACTCAGCTGATATTCTCTCAGTCGTTCACCGCACAAGATCTGAACGAGCACCGCCCCCTCCCTCCTTTGTCGTTTCAGGTATCCGTAAGCATACCCACGATTAGCGTATCTACCTAGGCCAGGGTTCGCTCTCCATAGATACTGATAATACACTTTACCAAAGGAGTCCAAGCTGTGCACTAACCTCAGACCCTGACAGTCCACCTCCCCATTGCCCTTACTCAAAGTAAACGCCTGACTACAGTGCCAAATCAGCGGAGCCTCTGAGTGCAGCCTAATACTCGCCAGTATATACATCAGGTAATACTTGATCGTTTCAAAGTTCCACTCCCCTCGTTCTCCTCCCACTCCTGCTCTGCTCTGCCTGCGAAAGTCACCTGGCCAGAACATCATGCGCCATATACCTGCTGGAAATGACCATTCAGGTGGCGTCTTCCTCAGCTTCACTCTCTTAAAGGCACCAGAAATGCGACCAAAATCTTCCTTCGCCTCACGCATTGCCTCACTCATATCCGTCTCCCGTGGTTCTCTCGTTAGCCCAGCGCCCAGCTCCTCATCGCACGTTGCATCAGATGCTGCCACGCCCCCCTCAGGACCTGAACTTTCGAGATACTTGCGCCACGTCTCAGAACCCAGGAAAGTGCGAGGAGCAAAGTGCAGTCTGAGCTTTGGCCCTAGCGCTTTGCCGCTGAGCCGCCTGGACACATCCCAGGCAGAAAAAACTCTCGATCATTCCAGGCATCCTCCAGCTCGGCCGCACGGAGGCCAATTGAACAGTTTCTATCCTTTCGCACCCGCCACCGAACCTCCCGATCCAGCCGACGACACAGAACGATATGCTTCGCTAGCATACCCGGGGCCAGAAACGAGTCCGAAAAACAGCGACATACCCCAGCAAGGAGACCCGCGGCAACATGCGGGAGGAAGGCAAGGAGCCACAAGGGATCACAGCCCCACGGAGGAGGAAGAAAGGGCGGAGGGGGCCTCTGCTTCAGGCTTCGCAGTTCACCCCGTAAGCGAACACGCTCGGCCAAAGCCGCAGACGTTGCCTCAGGTCGATCCAAGTGCTTGGGTTGAACGCCAAAAAATTCCCGAGCAATCGGGTTTATTACATTGTGAACGCGCAGGTAAAAAGATCAGCACATTGCCTCACTGGCTCCTCACTCTCGAACCCTACAGGTCCGAGCCCTCGGGAAACCGCCTCTAAAAATTCACGCCTTCGAACCCCATGTAGCACCGCACGGTTGAGAGTGTTGTGGTCCCAGCGAAACGAACCTTCATCAGGAAAAAACGGCCCCAGTTCGAACTGCGAGACAAGAGGGTAGTGGTCTCGGCGGGTCAACGTATTGATCAGCTGCATGGCCTCCCCCGCTCGCTCCCAAACTTCACATTTGCGGACTTTACTCAGTACTGCTTTCGCCGTACATATATAGTCAACCCGCGCCGTGCTAGAACCATTCCCCTGATAAAACATGGGCCCACACACACATAATACGTAT